TATATATATATATATATATATATATATATATATATATATATATATATATATATATATATATATAAAGGAGGGGGGGGAGGGGTGGAGAAACTGCAGTAGCGCCCATAAATTTGTACAAAAAACAATAACAAACAATTAATTTATTGTAAAACTAAAATTAAAAGTAAATAAATGAAATATAAATAAAAAATGATTAAAATTATTTCAGTTTTTCACATTTAAAATAATTATTTGAAAGTTGTTTGGAAATTGTTAAATTGGATAACTACTAGGTTCATATTTGTTTTTTATTTCTGCTGATAGGTTATAACTAGTTATGAAATATTAGTGGAACCTAGTAGTTAACTACTAAGTTATAGATATAATTTTTTACTAATGTTAAATAAACTAATTTTTAATTAATTTAACTAAAAAATATTATCTTATTTAATTAAATTAAAAAAAAAGAAAAAAAAAGAAACACAAACTTATTGTTTGAGTAAACTATTAAGAGTATAATATTTATTGATATATATATTGTTTGAGTATAATATTTATTAGTAATATATATTGTGATATATGTATTAATATATATTGTGATATTATAAGAGTATAATATTTATTAGTAGTATTGTTTGAGTAGATTATTAAGAGTATTGTTAAACAAAATATTATAAATATTTTAGAAATTTACGTAAATATGTATTATTGTGTTTCTTTCTAAAACAATTGCTATGTAAAAACAAAAATTGCATTTTTGTTTGAGGCTTGTACATTTATTTTTATATTAAAAAAAATATAAAAGTTCGTAATAAATATTTTTAATCAACAAAATACGCGGCCATCATGGAAGGCCAAAACTGGCTTCAAAAAATTTGCCGTATACGCTATCCAGTTATATTTTGAGATCAGTGGATTAAATGCTTACCCGCGGTGCTCTGTTATAAAATCGTAAGGACTTCTTGGGGGCACCTAAATGAAATTAAAAAAATATATGTTTTTTCAACCTTTTCTCAATTTTTCTTAAAAAAAAATTCATAATAATAAGGTAAAGCTAAAATTTAACTAAAAACATTTTTAACTAAAAGCAGAGTATACTTTTTATAGTTAAACTGACATATGCAGTACTTTTAATGGTGTTGCAAAATTGTTCATGTATGACTGTTTATAGACTTAAGTTTGCGCAAATTATCATCAATAACAACTGCTACTGTCTATTTCTTTTAGGCTACAGTCAGGAACATTTTTTTAATGTTAAAAAATGTCTCAAATTTTTTTTTTTTGAGCCATTTTTATTTTTAAACACTAATTCAACAAAAGTTTTAATTACTAATTGATATTTTTAATTAGTAATTAAAATTTAAAGATTTTGGGGCCCTAGTGGCTGGTATTAGGGGGTGGGGGAGTTCTCCAACCCACTAGCCACGACACTGAGTACAATTACGTTCAATAAAAAAATTTGCATTAAGTAACAATAATAATTACTTTTATGTCGAATGTTTAAAGTATTTTAGTAGAAACAAATCAAATTAAGTATATTTGTAAATAAGGTTGATACATTTCAAGAACTTTTACTAATAGAAGAAGTACTAATATGAAGTAAATAACTAAAAACACCCATAATATTACTAATATTAATCAAAGATTTCACCAGCCGACGAGTCGAGAATATATTTGCGCGGTTTATTTTATAAAGAAAATCAATTTGAAAAAGTTTGGAGTTTTATATTAACTACTTGTAGTACTTTTTTCCGTCTTAATTTTATATTAAATTCCTTATTTACAATTTTTTTTTGAACAAAAAATATTTTTTATTTGTTCATTGCAATAACTTGAAATGCTTCAAAGTTAGTTAGAACATAGTCATAAAAATAGTCTTTTTATAACTATGATTAGAACCATTTGTAACAAGGTTAACTTTTTGAATCCAATAAAACTATCGTTTAAGAATAATATACAAATAAACAAGTAAGATTTATTATTATTTTTTTATTTATTTATTTTTGTTATTTATTATTATTTATTTTATCTTTTTATTATTTTATTTTTAGAGCAGCCGTAATGCAGTTGTTAGCGCGCTTGCCTCAGAAGCTAAAAATCCCTTGTTTAATGTTATCTCTGGGCAAGTTTTATAACATCGGTAAGGAAGGAGACGTGAACTTCCTTTCAAATGCTGCTGTAGATCTTGGCAATTTGCTAACTTTGCCGCTCCAACCTTGACTTATTTGTAGTCAAGCATACTACGTACCATTATCCACGCATATCGCAGCTGTTGATCGGGACACAGAATTCGCCGGTCTAAATGCAAACAATTACTACCAGTTTCTATTAAACGTGTATAATGAATACATCAAACTACACATCCCATCAACAACTACTCCCTTCACTAAGAAACAGGATCAATGGGTAACACTAGATCTTATTATAGCGATCATGGCTAAACAAGCTTCTTGGGCCGAGTACTTTAATGTAGGTCGCAATACGCACAATCTACTCAAAGAATCATATTGCACCGCATTCAAAAATGTTAGTAAAATAGTTAAATCTGTCATGTATAACTACGAAGAGAAATTTGCACGGGAGTCCGAAAGCAACCCTAAACGCTTACATGGACATTTACAAAGCAAGCAGAGCGTCGGGAACACTACTACATTGCTAGAAATAGCTAATAACAACATTACTGCCAATACAGGTAATATATACTAGTTTCAATCAGTTTTTATTTTTGAACCCCAAAAATCTAATGCCAGCCTTTAAAAGTTGTACTGAAGCAATTTGTGTCGTCACCCTAGCAAGTTTTCTATCAATATAATGGAAAGTGGCCCAACCACCTTGATGAAAAAAAGACAACCAGCTACAACGGTTTACACCCACGGTTCCTTGGAAAATGTACAGCTACCTATGTTAAACCTCTTTCGCTTATCTACAAAAGCTTGTTCGCGACTGGTGTAGTTACCGACTTGTAGAGAAAATTGAATGTAATGCCTATTTTCAAAAAAGGGAGTAAATTAAATGTATCAAACTACCCGCCCATATTTCTCGCATCTGCTCTTTGAAAAATGAAGGAAAGTATTTTTAAACAATCATAATGGGTTGCTGATGGCTTGATTACTTCAAAGTAGCACAACTTTGCTCATCGCAAATATTGTGTCTCAAACCTGTTAAAAACTCGAGACATTATGACGGAAGCGATTCATTGCAGCCACGCAGTAAACGTCATTTATACAGACTTTATGAAGGCTTTTGACAAAGTGCCTTAAATTCATTAATAAACATTGGTTTCATAGTATTATCTCTCAGCGTTGAAAAATTTGCAACCCCTCAATTTGAGGGGGGGGGGGTTTAAACTTCATACGGTCATAATTTTTGGACGCTAAGAGATAATACTATGAAACTTAAATTTTATCGATGAATATAAATCTAGTTAAGAATAGTACAAAAATATTTTTCACGTGTGTGAATGAAGTTAAAGGGCTTTTTTGTTCCCAGCCTCCAATCATCGCATTTTTTTTTGCAAATTATCATTTTTTGACATAAGTATAAACACACAAACGTTTGGAGTTTGCTCCATGGCTGAAAGTTAGCTATCTCAAAAACCAAAAAAATGGATCCGTCACTGGAAGTATCATCCAGACTTTTCACTAAATTAACCAAAGTATTAGAATTCTACATAAGATCAGATACTATTTTAAGTAAAAAAAATTTATGTCAACTATACTACTCAATTATTTATTGTATTAACTACCATAAATAATTAAGTGTAATTAATTAATGCAAATATTGTGTGAAGTACAACTAGAAGTAACGTGTATTTTTACAACCGTTAGAAAAAAGCAATGCATTTTCTTCAATTGCTTAATGAAGAGCTAAGATTAACATAATGTATTTTCGCTAAGTTCACGTTGCCTTGGGCCACCTTTGGGCCACCTTTGGTTGAACTTTAATTTTTATGCTCCTAAACATTTCAAAGCATGTTGCTACTCTCTGGACAAAATTAGCTCTCACTGAGAAAGTAGTCAATCAGATATTTTAATTAGATAGATAAAACTATAACTTTTCAATAATAAAAATTCATTGATGCTATAGATGAATTGGTAATATGGTTTAACTTCTTACAGCTAATTGTTATACGGAGATCACATACCAAGATCCGCAGAAGACAGACTCAACTCACTAGAGCAACACTTCCACACTTCCACAGACCAAGAGTAAGTAAGTTTATAATGATTATAACTAATCAGTAATCTAACTAGCCGCCCGGGAATATCCACAGGTCGTTTATTTATTTCTATAAAAATGTCACTTTCTGTTTAATGTCTTAAATATAACTTTTTTTTCAGGATTTTTCCTCTTTTATTATCAATTATAAATAAATTTATTTGTACTAAATATATTTTTTAAGTTTTCCAAATAGTTTTATTAAAACTAATAAAGTTTTAATAGAACTATTTGGAAAACTTAAAAAATATATTTAGTACAAATAAATTTAATTGTATGATAAATTTATTTTTACAAATAAATTTAATTCTATGATAAATTTAGTTTTTTAGCTTAACTAAAATACATTATAACATTTTTTATTCATCGGCAATCGGATTAAATTTGTCCATTTTAATCCGATTGAAGATAGTAAAACTTATTCCTGAAAAAAAGACTTCACACCTCATACTAAGAGAGCCAAACCTTTGTTATATTTGCAGATCTTGCTTATTTGCCATTTAATAATAACCTTAATATTAAAACTCAAGTAGATTACGTAATTTATATATATATATATATATATATATATATATATATATATATATATATATATATATATATGTATATATATATATATATATATATATATATATATATATATATATATATATATATATATATGGGATTCTGATCAAAATAACACAAAAAAAAAACATACTTAAAGATTAATTCTGTTTACAAAAAAGGAAGCAACTATATTTTAATAATAACTATATTTTCTAAAAGAGATAAATATATTTAAAAGTTTCATAATTACATCTATAAAATAATATTATATATCCTCTAAAGCAAAATGTATACACATTGATAAAACACCTTAGAAATGGTTCACGTCAAGAAAATTAATTATTTGAAATTAATACAAATTAGAAACTCTGCTACTAGCTCTAAAAAAATAGACAAATTTGTTTTCGCAGAATCCATTTTTTATCTCTTGACACGTTAAAAAAAAAACGCTTTTTTTTTTCTCCAAATAAATTATGTTGAGCAAATAAATAAAATAACAATGACTTTATATTGATACTAATAAATAGCTGTATTCACAAATAAATGGGAAATATAAAAATAAATATAAATGGAAAATATAATAAATAAAACGAGAAAAGCGACGAATCTTAAAAACTTAAGACCAATGCGCTTTTTTATTTTTCTGCATTATAGAATTTAATTTATATATCATATATCCTTTAAGTATCTGCGTATGTTATCGAAAAATGAGTGGCTTTGTCGCCTTGTAAAGTCCTAGAAGCTCGCTTTGCCCTGCCTTTAACAGTACTACCTTGCTTACGTTTAAGTCCAAGATACCAAGGCGGATTATCTATTTCTTTTGGGTATTTTATTGAACTGAATGAAAAGTCTAAAGTTTCTAGCATTTCTTCGTGAAAATATGTATCTTGATCACTGATAACCTAAAGAAATACAGAAATTGTGTCATATTCGAGTCAGCGTTCGCGTTTTGCATTATTTAAATTCTTGAAACATAATGAAGATAAAATAACATTATAGGTGATCTATACAACTTTATTATTATCAAAAAAAATAAACGTTTACTCAGACGCAATCTTTATTATGTTATAAATAATAACAAAATGAAGTTTTCCCAGTTACCCTCTGTTTTATTTTACTTTTACAAAATAATAGCGACGGTAACTACAACAGCATAGTTAGTTGAAATATGTAAAGCACATTAATTACCTTGGATTCGACTTTTCCTTTTTTGTTAATTGCAAGAAATCTTCCAGTTGCAACTCCAACTATTCGTTTAATTTGTGGCGTTATAACTTGCAATTCCATTTTTGCTAAAAGAAAAAGTTTAGATCTTTATGAAATAAATTAACAGTAAAATATAAAATATTAAAAATATAACAAATAATTCATTATAAATGTTTTCAAAGAACTTGAAAACTTTTTATAAAACTTTGTTTTTATAGTAATCCTTAAACTAAATTTATCACAGTAATTGAGGTAACACAGGATCAAAGTATTTTCAGTGTTCAAAATAATTATTTTTAATTTTAATATGCGTATATATATATATATATATATATATATATATAAATATATATATATATATATATATATATATATATATATATATATATATATATATATATATATATATATATATATATAATTTATAAAAAAAAGTTTATCGCAATAATTAAAAAAATGCTCTAGCCGTTTTTTAATGTTCGAAATGCGGAAAAAAGTATGCTAAGGAAACACAGGATCAAAGTATTTTCAGTGTTCAAAATAATTATTTTTATTTTTAATGTACGTATATATATATATATATATATATATATATATATATATATATATATATATATATATATATATATATATATATATATATATATATATATATATATATATATATATATATATATATATATATATATATATATATATATATATAAATATATATATATATATATATATATATATATATATATATATATATATATATATATATATATATATATATATATATATATATATATATATATATGTATGTATATATATATACAATTTATAAAAAAAAGTTTATCGCAATAATTAAAAAAGTACACTAGCCGTTTTTTAATGTTTAAAATGCGGAAAAAAGTAGGTTAAGATGAGAAAAAAAGTGCAACTAGATATTTTGTAAGTTCATATTTTTTAATTAATAAGTTTTGTATCTCCGCGACCGTAATTTATAGGATTTTTTTTAGTTTTTTTTAAATTTACTTAAAGCAAAACAATTTTAAAAAATTTTTAAGCCGAAGCAAAAAATTAAAAAAAAAATTGAAACTAAAATTAAGCTATAAAAAATTAAACAAGTTATGTAATAATTATTTTACTTTATAATCTCTCTGATTCAAATTAAAACTAAATCTTAAACAAATAAAATCAACAATATCTGAGAAAACAAATTAAAGAACCAATATTAAAAACAAGAATAAAGCTTCCAATCAACAGGTACAGGTAATTTATCTATAACCAATCAACTGGGCATACATAATTTAACCTGAGGTATGGGCTTGCGGTAGTTGTTATTAATATAAAAATTAGTTGTATGTTTATAACACTTTTTTAAGAATTTTCAAAATTGTAAGTATAATTTTTGCGCCAAAAATACGCGCGTTTTAACATCACCTTTAAAATGCGCACTTTGATTGGTTCAAAAATTCTCAAAAAAATAGACATAACAGTATTATTAGTTTTTAATATTTGAGTTCACATTAAATACCAATAAATAAGCATAACTTACTGTAGTTAGTTTTGTTAATATGCCCATTTACTGTTCCGTCGGCTTCTATTTGAAGAAAATATCCAGTTCGGCTTTTAAGCCAGACGTGTCTCCAATTAGTTGGTTTATGTAAAACAATGTTGTGACGACGCTTTTTTCGTTTTCTTATACTATCTGCCACGTTTCGATCGTTTTGCCTAGCAAAGCGGTCTATGGTAATTTCATCGGCTGACTTAGTTATCTTTTTAATCAAAATATGTATTTCATGACGTGCAATACCATCGACAACTTCAAAAGATGTTTTGTTGGTATTGTCGTAAGAAAAATTACTTTTTGTTTCAAACATTTTCGCGAAAAGTAATAAAGACAGTACAACGGATGCAAACATTTTATTCCAAGTCTACAACAAATCAAACAGTAAAAATTCTACAACTTATAGAATTTATAACAAACTATTTAATTAAAACGCAATTGCCACTTTCATTTAAATAGTAAAAAAAGTCTTTTATTAAGAGCTTTTATTTTGTTTCTATACGACACCCAGTGCGCTAAAAGAAATATCAAAACGCTTTCTGGCATTTTTAGCATCGAAATTTGCAAATACCATAAAATCTATTACCTTCTATTATACTTTAATCTAATTATTACAATTATTTTATTATAATTATTATAGGTACCTTAATTTATGAGAAAAGCCTCTTTTATGATAGTTACACGATGAACTTGCGAGTGTGTTTACAAATATTTATCATACAGTTTCCTCTTCAGCTTTTATCTTGAATCTATTTCATAACTCATCTAGACTTGTAAATCACAAAAGCTGACTAGGTAGTTCCTTTTGATAACAAAATAATAGCAAAGAATAAATAGATGTCCGATATTGCGACGCAGCTTAAGAAAATCCTGTCTCACTTTTTTTTTTTTTTTTCTTTATGCCGATAAAAAAAAATGTTTTAAACTTTTAAAAAAAAAAATTTGATGTAAAAAATTTTTTTTACACGTTGATTTTTTACACGCATATAAGTTCGTGTAAAAAAAATTTATTTTTTTTTTACTTCTAGATAATGTTACTTACATAATGTTCGAGTGTAAAATATATCACTGATATATGGGATGAAGAAAGGCCAAAAAAAAAAAAAAAAATACTGAGATAATAAAGCAATCTCCTTATTTCTTGGAGTTTTAAAAAGTAATAAGTTTAATTGCAGACTCGATTTTTTATATAGACATTATGTGTTTATGAGTTGAATTTTATAATTTTACGAGTTGCACCTAACCATTTATTGCCAAAAATGCATTGCATTGCTAACCGTGGACTGACGGGTATTCATACGACACTTAATACGTAGGATAAACTAAGGTATACTAAACAATTCTTCACTTGAAAGTTAAAAAAAAAAAATTAATTAATGCAATTTAGTTGTAGACATTGATATAGATAATTAGTTGTGTTTAGTCAAGAAAGACAAAAACTAATAAATAGTATTTTAGATAACAAATCATAAATAATTTTTGTGAACAACTTGAGTTGAATATTGAAGTACTTCCGCATTTAATTAAATCATGTGACGTCAACAACGAATCATTACATTAAAGTATTACTTTTAGCGTTATTAATATTCCATAATAAAACGTCATCCTATATTTACGATGAAAACTTTGCTTGCAATTTCAATATTAAAATTGCTTATTTTTACTTTAAAGTAATTTATCCATTTTATTTCGATGTGTTAACTAAAAACAAAAACAGCATCCCAAAAAAAAAAAAAATAATAATAAAAAATAAAAGTTAAAAAAATTATTGTGCACATATAATGCCAAATATGATAAAACAATCCTTACATGCTTCAAGCATCCACAAGACATTTTAAATATTCCAGTTATTACAATTTCTGAGCTATAGGTGTATTAATATGTCGGCAAATCAAAATTTTCTTTAATCATTGGCATCCAATCAATCTCAAGGAGAAAAACCGTGGACCAAATGCTTATCAAATCAATCTCGTTATTTCGGCAGTTTTATAGAGATAAACAGGTTGAAGTTTATTTTTTTGAATGAATTAACAGCAAAAATATTTTTTCAGTTTTAAATAATTTAGCAGTATATATTTTTAAAAAATTATATTTTTTATAAATTTTATTTAAATAGATCTAATAAACTACTTCTTATTATTGCAAAAACACGCGAATAATCATCAAATATTTATCGAATCTTTATTTAGTAACAAATATTTTGAGTATACTCATTGCTTAAAAACGCCAGTTGTGCAATGTAATTAATTTCCGGCCGTATAATGATTGAGCGAAACACTTTTTCATCCTCCAGTATTCAACTATTGGGCATTGGTGTATATATATACATATATATGCCCTCCTGCCGAACAAACTGCAAAAAAATGTTATCCTGTAACCACATAATATAAGCCACGAGAAAGCAATTTCAAACAAAGAGATGCTAAAATAACGATTGTCTTTAGAAACAAAAAAATTTCTTTGAAAACGCAAACTTTGAGTTTAAATAATTGCAACTTTAAATTTTTTAAAATATTTTTTTGTAATTCAATTGTACCCTTATATAAATTTTAAAAGTGGTTCTTTTCACTGATACGCTTCTTGCATGGCGCTTCGTACACGTGCTGATAAATGAATATAACGTTGTTAAGGATTTTTTGTAATTATATTTTGGATACTTAGGATATAGCGGATACTTGCAAATATACCGTTGTTATGGGTTGCTTTAATTCTATGGCTGATACTACGACCTAACAGATAGTTGCAAATTAAAAAAACTTGTTCGCAAACAACGTAAATCAAGGTCAGTACAAATATAAAAAAAGACAGCGATTATTTATTAATAACCTATTTATTTTGAATACTTTTTTAAAATAAAATCGATCAAAAAATACAGTAATACATATTTTTAAGAACGCGTTCCTAAAAATACGCACGCGAATTCCAACAACAGATATACACAACACATTTTGGACCATTTTATTTTAATCATTATGTATTTTAATGAATAAATACATTCACGCGCGCGTTTACAATTTTTATAACAAAGTTTTTTGAAACGAAAAAAATGTGTTTAACTTCAGATCGAAATCGAGTGGACGATCGTCTGGTTCTAAATACTTGCGTTTCATAGTTCGACCTAGATAGGGTACTATTTCGCATTGTTTTTCAAATAGCCTAAGTTTTTTCTTATACTTTGCTTTAACCATTTCATTTGATTTTGGATTGAAAGCTACATCGATTAAAGAAAAAAAAAATTAAGTCAAAAACAAAAAAAACAAAAAAAAAAAAAAAAAACTCTAAAATTTAAAATAATAATAGCTTTAAAAAAAAACCCCGCGATAGTTTAAAAAAAGAATTAACAATAAAATTTCCGTTAGGAAACACAAACAAAACGTATTACTTAGAAAAAAAGCTCACGAGCCTAATTTTTTCACATGCTTACTAACACATTAGTTTATATACGTTAGACAAGAAGCTATTGCAAATACAAACGTAATTATAAATATTGCTAAAGCTCGTTACGGGTGTGTTTCCAAGCAACATTTAACGCTCTAAAAGAAAGATAAAGTTTTCAGGAAGTAATTTTAATACATACATCCTGGTTGTTCAATCAATGCTTCGGACTAAAATAAAACTATAAATAAAAAATGCCGGCAGGCACCAAAAAATGAATTAGCGGTGTATTTGGCTAAAGTTGTTAAGAATCCGTGGTAATCTAGACAAGCAAAAAAAAAACGCGCATAAGCTATATTACAAATTTATAAAAGTGTTAAATACATACTTGTAAACTAAGTATTGTGGTATTTACAAATACAAAAGTACATAACTTAAGCTTAAGGGTAAGAAAAAATAATTCAATGAAACGAAACTATAGTGAGATTTTAAAAAGCCATTAAAATTGAAAGATTAAAGTTATAAACAAGGAAATTAAAAACTCAAAAGAAATTCCGTTATAAAAATTTATAGATAAAAAACCTATTTATTGCATACCGGAAGTCATAAAAATTTCCACAGAATAAATTTAAAAGCAGGCTTACTTTGTACTAATTATATAGAAGTGTTATATAGAAAACTTTGGTCTTCATAAACCAGTTGGTTTTCTAAATATAAACTTTTTTTAACTTAATTTTTTACTATTTCAAACCCTTAAACCGACTGGTAAAGAAACATTATGACAAAGAGTCAACAACGTAAAGAGTCAACATAGAACAAACGTTGCATATCGATTTATCTTTATAAAAAGTATGATTCCTAACAAACAAAATCTTAATTAAAAAAAATTAACGAAATAGAAATAATAGAAAATATCTTTCGTTTGAAAAAGTAATAACATACCTTTCAAGTGATAAGCTACATAAATAAGGGCAGAACTTTTAACTGATAAGAATGGAAAGATGGGCTTTAACATCCCAACAGCAGTTAACGCTTTAATAATCGATACTGACAGTGTCTGTTCCATATAACCCAGCCTAGGTAGCTTTAATACATCAATAACCTCTTTGGATGGAGGTAATTTTTTGGGAAGAGTTACATAAGCATACTTTTCCGGAGACCTTAATAAAATGTTATAGACATTAAATTAATTAATTATACCGATCGACATTAAAAAAAAACGTTAAATAGTTCTAAAATATACCGCAATAGAAAATTATTTATTTTACCTCATAAATTTATCAAGACAATCGGCAGAAGTAAACATAAAAAGAGAATTCTTAAATTCAGCCACTAAGTCTTTTTGACCTTTAACAAGTTTTTCGTACCTTAAAAATAAAAAGACCGAAAATGAAGTTATTTATTACCTGTTATTCATCTATTCCATTTTCGAATTCGCACACAAAAATTATTTTCAATTTAAACTTTAATGTAATGTAAGTTTAAAAAAAAATTTTTTTTTTTACTTTTTATCACCATCAATGTAGGTTACTGGACAGTAACCTTGAAATGCGATTGTTTGAAAAGAAATGTTTTTTAAAAAATCGCCAAATACTCTTTTAGGTAGCCTTTCATTATCAGGTAGAGTTCTAGGAGCAAGCGGCATTACATATTTAGTGGGAGTATTAAGAAATTGTAACATGTTGTTCTCGTCAGAAAACTTATAAAACTTTCCACGATATTCAGCAATTAAATCGTCATTTTTTAGGTCAGCGCAATTAACTAGTTCCATTTTCAGTGCTAAACTGACAGGACAGTAGTCTAAAAACTCTCCAAGTCTCGATTGAATTTCACTAGGAGTAATACACATAGATTTTATAGGAGCAGGGCGACCTAAAATAAATTAGTTAAAAATTGAAAGTACAAAAAAAAATATTACCAATCTTTATAAGTATTGTTTTGATAAAAAATTTTATAATTTATTTGACATATCAAGGTTAGTTAAGGATCTTTATCTATGGATAAAGCCACTTACCTGAGAAAGAAAATTCTGCATTTTAATTATTTTTACAAATATCTCTCACAAAGACCGAGTAACTACAACTATGAAAAATTTTCTACCTTTAGTCTCCAAACCACAAACCATGACAGACAGAGATTCTTCAAGGGAAGAATGAAAATGAACGTTTTTTTCTTTTATCTTTCTACCCTATATCTTCAAACCACAAACCATGACACACAAGGAAAACCATGACAGACAAGTATCTACATGGAAAGACATGTAGAGCATAATATTACCAGAGACGTGGTGGAGCTCACTAACAACAATTATAAAACAAAACATTCTTAGTTTTAAACAAAAAGGTTACTTTATTGATTCATACAGCCTGCACAAATCTTTGAAGCAACGAAAGAATAATAAGATCATATATATTGCTTCAGTTAGTTGTATGCTGTTATTACTGATGTTGATATATAGTAGTATGCTGTTATTACTGTTATTGATATATATATATATATATATATACATATATATATATATATATATATATATATATATATATATATACATATATATATATATATATATATACATATATATATATATATATATATATATATATATATATATATATATATATATATATATATATATATATATATATATATATATATATATATATATATATATATATATATATATATATATATATATATATATGTATATATATATATATATACAGGGTGGCCACACTTTTTTTGTCTGAAAATATTAGGATAATTTAGGATAATATAGGAGATTTTTAAATGATTTTTAGGAGATTTATCGGGAAAATTAAAAGAAAAAGGATAAAAATCTTAGGAGATTTTAGGAGAATTTCAAAAATAAAGTGGCACTAAAAAATTTTCATTTTATTTAAAAACTGTAAGAATGCCTAGCTAAAATAATTAAGATAAAATTAAGCCAAACACTGTTATTTAAAATAGTCTGACATAGTCTAGACATACAAAAATATTAACTTGAAACAAATCATACTTGCATTAGAAATTTAACAAATTAAACATTGCATTAAAAAGATGACTTTATGACTAAGTAACAAATAATCAAAAATCATTAAAATACACAGCCAAACTAAACTTTATGTTTTATATTACCCAGTCATAAAAAGAAATATACAAATCAGAAAAACAAAACGATTGAAAAACTTAAACATCCAAATCTAAAACTTAGCTTTGTTGTCAAATAAAAATCAAGTACTTTTTTTGCTGCTGTAATATTTTCTAGCAAGTCCTATTTTTCAGAGGCAACTCTCTTTAGCGCATTAGATTTTAGAATTGTTGACTTTATTTCTATCAATGATTTCTGCTTTTCCGCTTGCAATGCATACTCATCTGCATCATATCTGAGCTAAAGTATGGTACCTTCAAGGGTGTAAACTTGTTCATTATAATCTCTTTATTAAAACTTTTCAGTTAAGTATCACGGTCAGTTTTTAAAGCATTCACAGACTTTTCTTTCTGATTGCTAAAGTATAGTTTTCGTGCATCCTTAACATATCCCATAAGTTTAGTTGTCATAGCCAATTGGGATGATTTTATATTTTCACTGCACATGTTTTCATGTACAATTCTCTGCGCAATAAGAGTATCAGTTAGCATTATTATCCAGAAGTTGGTCATTTTGAGCAGCAGTGGCGCAGTGGTTAGAGTTCTGGCTCAGAATCCAGAGATCCAAGGTTCTATGATAAAACCGTAAGGACTTCTGGGAGCACCTAAAAACATACAAAAAAAAAAAAAAAAAATTTATACTAAATCCACGCTCTACTTGTGCTTGGCCATGGGACAATATTGATATAAAATAATTAATATTAGTAACAATTGGTAAATTTTCATTAAATCCTTGAATCTTAAAGCATCTGTATATTGAACCAAAAAAGAATCCAATATATCACTTTCTTTTTTGAACCCAAGAAATTTTTTCTTGTTCACTTTCACAATAGTAGTTAAAAATTGTGAATACTGTAATTTAGCTTGATCAGCAACTGAAGGTGATACCTTTTTATAAGCAACTAATTTCAGCAACAACTTGTCAAAATAAAGTTCACACATAAAGCTCATGAAATTCAACCATGTACAAAGGTGATAAACATAATAAGTATCTGGCAAAGTATGAGTTTAGAACACTTTTTTCAACCATATGTTTGCACATAGTAACTAAAAACTGTTGAACTTCTGTTTTAAAATTATAGATTTGTGGATCAGTAACTTTTTTTCTAGATTTCAGCTGCTGCAACTCATTTTTTATTCCAAACCCAAGATCAATATTTGCAACCAACACTTGATTTTTGACATCACTAATATCAACTTTTAATAATTAAAAAATTGTGGATGCTTCAGACAAAACTTCTTTTTTGATAAATTTTAATAAAAATAGTAAATTCTCAAGTGTTTCCACAAGAAAAGGTGTTATAGGATTGTCAGTTTGGAAAACTAACAAAAAAGAATTTAACAGTTTTGCAGTTTACTTAAAAAATTGTAACTTTATAGGGACTAACACATCTTTATACTATGAAGAAAGGTAGTATTTTGCCCAGGCTTACATTGACCAGGTTGCTTGCTTTTTGGTAAATTTTTCCAAAAGTCAATAATCACAATAATCTATGGCCATAGCTCTCTTTGCTACTTTCTCATTTTCAATCCAACGACGGCCACAGAACTACAGAGCACAACCCGAAAACCAAGCTTGAGTAAGGTTTTTCGAAATCAGCACGACAAGAAGGGCTCTCATGGAATATCTTAAACAATGAAGACAGCAATTTGTTCAATTTCTGTCCTGAAGCATTTGTATCATTCTTGAATGATCAGTGCATTGTGTGAAGGCCACATGATCCAATTGAAACTAATTGACTAAGTTCAAATTCACTTCTCTTAGCATTCAAATTAGAGAGGAAAGATAAATTATGTTTTGAGAAAAAAACTTATGGCAAAAAAGAGCAGTTAAAAGAAAGATATCCGGAAATAAAAAAATCATCAAACATACCTAACATAATAACATAATACTTAACCAAATAAAATTTTTTATATTTATTGCCTTTTAACCGCTTTTAAAATTTAGCTTTATATTTGACTGACATTTTCTATTCTGAATGTACAAAATTATTTTAGGTCAACTTAATTAAAATAAAGCTTTAATAAAAATAATTTTGATGTTCAAAACTAAGGCAGAAATAAGAAAAAAAAGCTTAAATTTTATTGAATAAAATTATTAAATTATTAAAATATTACAAATATTAAATATATATTTGATTAAATTATTTTCTATCAGTAAACAACAGCACTAACTCCAAGTCTGATCCATTTCATTAACTTTATTGTTGATTAGCTGATAATAGTTTATGCATTATACTCAGGATTAGGAGAATTTATGACTATTTCAGAAAATCACCTATACTTTAGGAGAAATTAGGACTGTTTAGGATGTTTTTCAAATATTAGGACATTTTAGGATTTTTTAGGAGGCGTGGCCACCCTAATGTATATATATATATATATATATATATATATATATATATATATATATATATATATATATATATATATATATATATATATATATATATATATATATATATATATATATATATATATATATATATATATATATATATATATATATATATGTATATATATATATATATAACATTTTGTTTGAACTATAGGAAACATATCAAAATTTACACCGATTTATAATCAATCAGTTGCTACAAACTAATAAACTTCCTGATTCTTTTCTTAATTTAAATACAGGATTTCAAACTTTTGATGAATATGATAGTACTTGAGATAATTGAGAACCTTTTTACCTCATTTTCTTACTTTGAAAAAGTAAGCTCATTTTTGCTGTGCAGTAACTGATAGAAGACTTAAAAAGATTTAACTCTAGTAATATATTTTTGGAATTCTAATTCGAAAAATACAAGTATAAGAAATTTTTAAAATTAAAAAAAAAAGGTTTTCTGGAAAAATGTTCTTATCATGTCCTAGTATCAGCATCGGCTAAAGTTGCTTAAATATGATCAATATCTGAGAAAGGAACAATTTTACCACCTGTACTAGTATGGTCAGTGTTGTAAAACTTGGACTAGTAATAATGTTATTTTATTTTCTTAACTTCAATATAAGAAAACCAAAAAATTCAGTTTGACTTGTTAAGCAATTTTAATATGCATTTTGAAAAACTTATGTAGGGTAAAAAATAACAATACATGTTATATAAATAAAAATTATATATGTTTAATGTCTAATGATAAAAGACTAATAAAAGCATAAAATGTCATATCAGCATGCAATGTCATATCATCATGCAATGTCATATTATCATGCAATGTCATATCATCATGCAATGTCATATCATCATGCAATGTCATATTATCATGCAATGTCATATCATCATGCAATGTCATATCAGCATGTTATACCACATCAAATTGATATTTTTGAGATATTTTTTCAAAATATGAATATAAATATTCTTAATATCCTTTTAAAACATTTTATCTGCCCATTATTTACTAAAAAACATTTTAAAATACAAAAAACTTTTTTTAATTTATTGATACTTTTTTATTGTGATTTTTACCTCTCATACATTCTATAAATCTTTCTATATGTTTTTATTGTGAATTTTACCTCTATGTATACATCCTATAAATCTTTCTATATGTTTTTATTGTGATTTTTACTTCTATGTATACATCCAATATATCTTTGTATATATTTTTTATTGTGATTTTTACTTCTATGTATACATTCTATATATCGTTGTATATGTTTTTATTTGTTTTTTACCACTGTATACATTCTATATATCTTTATATATGTTTTTTATTGTGATTTTTACCTCTCTGTATACATTCTATATATCCTTGTATATTTTCCACAGCTTTTGACACTTCTTTTACAGCTTCATTGTATACCCACCACTTGGAATTTTCTGCATTAACACAAAATTGATTTTTGAACTGTTCACGACAGAATTCAAGAATTGAAACAGATTCTTTTCTATAACAAGCAATTCGAATTGCTAATATAGCATGACTATCATGTAATGGCCATAATCTGCAAAATAAAAACGAAATATATTAAAACAATGTTTGTATTATATATTGCAAAAAAAGAAGAAATAGCAATGAAGAAAATGTAAAAGTAGGGAAAAAATAACTGTGATGAGAAAATCATCAATGTAATATGTTTATTAAAATTTTTATAAATTTTAATAAACATTTTACAATCAAAAAAAGTTTCACATGTTTTTACATGCTTCAATTATTTTGTGAAACCGTTAAAATATGTCAAGTAGGTACATGAAAAATAAATAAACCTCTATTCACAAGTTGTATAAAAAACATATGTAGAGACCCCCAAAAGTTGTCTAAAAAAATACCTAGAAACCCCCAAAAGTTATCTAAAAACACAAGTTGTCTAAAAACTAAAAGAACTAAAAGAAATCCAACATTTGTTAGCCTAAATTCATAAAACAAAAATAAATAAAAAATTCACAAAAAATAAGGGTAAATAAACTTATTTCTTAGAAATAAATGACATATGAGGACGACTTAAATGCAAAAAAACTACTAAGTAATCAATTATGACAACTTGGATGACAGTTGTTGTGGTTACCTGATATATAATATGAAATTATATTGTTATAGAATACTTAATGCCAGTTTTAATATGCCAATTCTGACATGTGGCAGGCATCATTCTGTGGACAATGATGAAATATTGGCAGTCCTGTGGAGGATAATGATACAATTACAGTCCTGTGGAGTAATCCTGTCACACAGTCCTGAAGTAGAATCCTGGTTATAATGTTAAAACAGAAAATGCTTATTATCTGAAATATGGACGCTTTAATTTTTTTAAATACTATGCTAACAACTTCATATAAGTAAACTACAGTGCACAAGTCTGTGACACTTTTACACTGACTATGTGGTGTGGTAATCCTTATACAGCTATTTTCATTGTAGTATTATAGGTTTTGAATTTAAAAATTAACAAGAAAGTCTAAATAAAAAACAAAATTAAACAGTTTCATCTAAATTGTTTTTTTTTTCCAGAGTGTGACTTCTTTTTGCTGTTAAAAAATCATTTTTTGATAAATCTGTATCCAAGAGCATAGTGACATTCCAAGACTTTTTTGCACAAAATTAAAAAATAAATAAATAAAAAAATCTAATACCTATAAACAGATCTCCTATCTGTTAACCCTCTTTGTAAAATTTCTTGATCAGATATAATGAGCTCAATAAATTTATAAGGAATAATTTTTCTATCTTTCAGAAGATTAAACTGGTGCATGGTGCATGGGTAACCATCTAAAACATATCTAAAAATAAAGTCGATACCAAGTACAAAAACAAAACAACAAATATATTGCAATGCATCAATAGATAAATGTACTCTTGGTATTATTAAAACCGTCATTATGCTAGTATTGCATATTCTATTGTAATTAAAACCTTCATTATGCTAGTATTGCATAATCTATTGTGTTTAAAAACTACTTTTACATAATTACTTGTTTCTCTGGGTAGTTGCCTTAATAATCAAAGTTTATTTTTTGTAATTAAAGTGTTAGGAGAGGTTTGTAACAACAACTAAAAAAAATGATTAGCTGTAGTGCCTTTCTCCCTCTATAGAATAAACAACTTGTCTTTAAAACATATACACACTTATACAACGTGTTATCTTTCAAATATATATATGTGTATATATATATATATATATATATATATATACAGGCTTCGGCAGGAATAAAAACCGTACGGGCTATGAAAAGCCCGTCTTAAATAGACTTGACGGGCTATGAGGGCCGCCCGTCTAGATGGTCTTGCACGGGCTTTTTTAAACTTTAAAAAAAATTCTAAAGTTTGAACTTTTTTTTTTTTAAATTTGTTAATTTCTCTTTTTGAATGAAAATGTCATTGAATATTAAACATTTTGTGAATTTCACTAAAATAATATGTTAGAAAGCGATTAACTGTTTAAAATGCTTAATTACTTAAGTAATTAAAACACTGCCGTAAATGAGTTGGATAATACTTAAAACTAAGATTTCAATAATTGTTTTTCAAAGTTTTCACTTGCACAGATATAATTTCGTTTCACGTGGGTTAGTTGTTTTATGGTTGCTTTTGTTTAAATTTCTTTATTCTTTTTTTATGTTTTTTTTTTTTAATCTTTATTCCAGATAATATCTGGCAGATATAGTCAAACGAATGAACGTGAAAACGACGGGAAAAATCCTCGAAACAACCATGGCGTTTCATCACGTTTCCTTATTCAAGCATCCTAACGTGTTTTTTTACCGAAGTCTTTTTGAGTATATTTATATATTATTGTTTTATTTAAGTATTCGATTAAATTATACAGGTTTTTATCGTGCTTTTTTAGTTCATTCGTTTCTCTTATTCTTTGTGAATAAAAATATTACATAATATTTTCAAAATCTAATTTTTTTAATTATTCAGCAAATAGTTTGAAATCTTTTTTTTTTTTAACCTTGAATCAATGAGCTCGATAGTTTTAAAATTGTTTGGTGTTAGCTTGGTAATATGATACGTAACTATGTTATTTTTCAAATTCAATTATTTATATACTCTTGCATTCTATTGGGCGTGCAAATTAAAAACTTAAACTGTTATTTATATTTTTATAACTTTGCTTTACCTATGCCTATCCTGATCGGAAATAGTTATTCTGATACGTAAATAAAAAATTTGAAATCTAATTTCTTTTAATAAAATAAGTTTTTATTTAGAAGTACTAATAATTTCTTAAGATACCGGGGCTTCCGTTACTTTATATACAATATAAGCATGTATATAAGCGTATGTATGTTGCTAGCTTTAACGTTCGTAGTGCCCTCTATAAATGCTAATGCTTTTGATTTTGCCAGACCTTTTAACTCGCGAAGCAATTCTTTTTTATATTTTATACAAACCATACACCATATCTTCACAACAAAAATTGTTCCATTCTCCACCTCAGTTTCTTTTCCACAGACTCCATCTTTACCATAACTCAAAAATGTTGCTAATGTAACTCTTCTACCAGATGATGCCATTACTATCTTTACTGAAAAACTTGAATAACTTGAAAAACTTGAATGACTGGATAACTTGAATAACTTCATAACTATAAAGCAACACTATTTATATTATCTACAAAAATTAGACGTTTGTTGATTTTTAATGAGATATTTCATTTTCAATAACGAGTTATATAATTGCATATTAAATAAACTGCCATCTCTTTAAGAAAAAACGTGAAGTTAACGCGGAAATATCACTTTAAATGTCTTTAAAGTAAGACAAACTAGTTTATCGGAAAAAAGCGAAACACATGGATAATTAGTTTATTATCGTTATTATTATAAACATTGAAAAACCAAAAAAACAACATGATACTTCTTGTGCATCACATGTGTATATTTCCCTATTTAATATAATAGTTATTAAATTTTGAACATAATATGGTAACTGTTTGGTATTATATCAAACAGTTATCGTCGTTTAAAAAACTGTAAGATTTAGTTATATTATTTTCTACATCATGTTATACAATAATGATTAAATTGTTTAATTTTTATATTTAAATATAAACAATTATAAGTTGGAGTTTGCTATCCATATTAAAATTATGTCATGAGAGAAGTTTTAAAAGAGTATCTTAATAAAAAAACATCAAAATATTCATCTTTTTTTTTACACAAAACTTATGTTTCAGACGGGCTTTATTTCGCCCGTCTAAACTGACTTAGACGGGTGCGGAGACGGACACGGGCTATAGCCCGTCATTCCTGCCGAAGCCTGTATATATATATATATATATATATATATATATATATATATATATATATATATATATATATATATATATATATATATATATACTGTTACTCACAGTACCAGCTAAATGTTAGTGTTTATAATATAAAATATTGCGGCTCTGGGTTTCATGTTAGTACATTTTTCAGGCAGGTAGTAAAAATTTAATTTTGCTACAATTTGTTTTGTAGACATTACCATTTATATTTATTTTTGTAGACATTACCATTTATATTTATTTTTGTAGACATTACCATTTATATTTATTTTTGTAGACATTACCATTTATATTTGTATTTAAGATTCTTACAGGATGGAAATTATTTAGCAGTTATGTTAATGTTATTATTAATTTGCTTTTAATTAGTTAATAGTTGTGAAATAGTTATATGACTTAATGCTTGTTTAAAAATTTTTGATTATGTGATAATGTGCATTATTTATATATTAAAAAAAAATCAAATTAAAAATTGATTAAAATATAAATAATATTATGAAATATATTACAATAGCTGTGTATGTGAGTAATTTATTAGTTAGTCTAAAGATATATGAAGTAGAGTAATATGGTTATTGTTAGTTAGGTTTGTAGCAAGCTTTGTAATTAGTTAAAAATAGATATTTTTAGTGACGGCACTTTGATATAATTTTGGATCTTTTATTTAGCAGTTCTTCAGGTTTTGGATAGGATGTAATAACAAATTTCTCATAACGACATAGTGGGCACCTTTTAAAAATATTTTAGTAGGGGGATACAGACTTTGGAATAGACCATGTTAATATAGGGGTTTCATTAAAATTATTTTTCAAATACCAGACATAGTTTGATAGGGCGGTGGAATTTTTGAATTTAATATTATTGATTGATGATTTTTGATCGTTATATCTGGTTTACCATATGCCATTATTTGTTAATCCAATATAAACTTTGTTGAGTTGGTTTTCAGCTGTAATGATGTATTTGTATGTAATGTTTGTGGATTTTCACCATTCAGGGAGGGATCTGCTTTATTTTGACAATTGCATTTTGGGTCATTATTTTGAATTATAATTACTGAATTATTACATCATTTACGTTAATTACATTATTACTGAACAATCCTCTCTTAAGCATTTAATTCTATAAAATTGCTCTCTCTTAAGCCTTTAACTCTATAAAATTATTCATTATCTATCTCTTTTACTGTTACTTCTGATTTTGTATATTAATCATTTTGAAATTAACATCCAAAATAAAAATATTTCTGCAGTTTTGTTGGTAGTTAATATTTACCTTTTTTATATAAATCATAACACAAGTAATTTTTAAATGAATCATAACACAAGATCTTGTGTTTTAGTTATTGTAAAACTCACTATCAATAAAACTGCAGAAAAATGCTACTTAAATCAGATATTAATTTCAAAACAAGTAAAAAAACAGAAACAACAGTGAAAGATCTAGATAATGATTATCAGAAGACTTTGAAAAAAAGCAAAAAACAAGATATTATATGAATCAAAAAATGTGTACTAAGAAGAGAATGTTCCCATGAAAAGCAAATTGGAACAATTAGGTTAAGAACTTTTAAAAAACTCTAGGTTAAGAATTTTTGTTCTGATTTTAAGAAATTTTGTTTTTATTTTAAGAACTTGATTTTAAGAATTCCATTCTAATTTTATAATATTGTAATATTTTGTTATTGTATATAGTATGTATATATATATATATATATATATTTATATATATATATATATATATATATATATATATATATATATATATATATATATATATATATACATATATATATATATATATATATATATATATATATATATATACATATATATATATATATATATATACATATATATATATATATATATACATATATATATATATATATATATATATATATATATATATATATATATATATATATATATATATATATATATATATATACATATATATATATATATACACAAAATATCTATATATACACAAAATATCTATATATATATATATGTATATACATATATGTATATATATGTATGTATATATATATAATATTTTTTTTTTTTTAAATGATAGACTGCCTGCCCAAACCAAACCTTTAGTCGATGTAGCAGCACTCCCTTGCGAGTCAGGCTATTTGTCAGTCGACGTAGCAGCACTCACTTGCGAGTCAGGCTATTTGTCAGTCAATGTAGCAGCACTCCCTTGCGAGTCAGGCTATTTGTCAGTCGATGTAGCAGCACTCTGTTGCGAGTCAGGCTATAATATAGTCGATGTAGCAACACTCCCTTGTAGCAGCAGGCTATAAGATAGTCGATGCATCAACACTTACGCATGTTTTAAAAATGTTTTTAATAAAACAAAAACAAAAACACATCTAATTAAAAAAAACTTTCTAGTCATTATTATTGCAGTTTTTTTAAAAAACAAGAAAATTTGATGTACTTCCGCATAAATTTAATTGCTTTGACATTTCGATGACAATCAAATACAGCTTAAGAGACAAGGTAATAAAAATTGTAGTCGAAGAAGACTTTTTTTTACCATAAAAGTCTCTTTCGACTACACTATAAGGATATATACATATATATATATATATATATATATATATATATATATATATATATATATATATATATATATATATATATATATATATATATATATATATATATTATATATATATATATATATATATATATATATATATATATATATATATATATATATATATATATATATATATATATATATATATTTGCATTCACTCCCAACAAGGCTGCAAGCAACCACTATTAAGTTGGGAGTTACTAGGAAAAAAAAGAACAGAGTTATAGAGCAAGGAAACGGTTGACAGAAGACTTGAAAAGTTGAAGGTTGTATGAGTCAGGAAAACATCAAGATGGGAGAGAGTTCCAAAGGATTGAAGTGCGGGGAAAAAAACTAGATGAATAAAAGTTTTTAGAGCATGCAGGGACAGATACAGTAAACGAATGAGACTTAGCTGAATGACGAGTAAAACGAGAATGAATTTTAGTTGATGGAACTAGAGATGATAACTCCTTTGAGCAGTGACCATGATAGTATTTTTAGAAAAGAGAAAGAGATGCAACTTTACGACCATGGGAAAGAGATTCAAGCTTAGCAGATAGTCCAGGTCCAACAACATTTACAATGCGTTTTTGGATCTTGTCAAGAAGAGAAAGTGAATCGTTAGAAAAACCAGCCCAAATATGACAACAGTATTCCATACAGGGACGAATAAGAGATTTGTAGAGGTAGAGAATGGAATCAGAAGTAAGGAAATGGCGAGCACGATAAAGAGAACCAACCTTAGCAGAAGCTAATTTAGCAATCGATTGTATATATCGTTTCCATGAAAGGTCAGTAGTAAGCGATAATCCAAG